GCTCCTTATCATCATTGAGTTTATAACCCCTACTTTAACCCCATAAGTGTGGTTGGAAAAGAAATTGAAAGGGAAACCTGTGTATGTGGGTTTCCCATGCACAGCTTGATCTAATCTGGTCCCCTCTTTGCTAACTAAGACATCAGGAAGAGGTAAACAACATTTGTTTTTTAACTCGATGGTCAATTTCGTTTTCCCATCTACCCTGTTTATCAAACCAGGAAAATTATCCACGTCTTCTTTGCCATGTTGCCAAATAGCAAAGTAATCGTCCATATAGCGAGCTAATAATTTAGGGATTAAAAGGGCCTCCTGAATTAAACGCGGATCCTACGGAGAAAGAGACATAATCTGATAAGACATATGGGAAGAGGATTGCGGAGTGAGTGGGTGAGAAAGCCAGCGTGGGATTTGGAGAGTTTTCATTAAATCCGCTAAAAAGGGCACACCATACCACATTTAAATAGGCAATTAATAAATTGTGATAGTTAAGTGGTGCTACGAGGATATAGGATTGGTGATTAGCCCAGGGGGAAAGGGGAGATACCACGATTGTTTAGTTAGCAATTGGTCAAAGGATTGGCTTTACCTGCCTCTTTGTCGAGTTCTAGTTTGATGCCAAAAACTGGCAAGACTCATTAACGATGACGATAAAACATCTGGGGATGTACCACGTCCAAGCTAAGACTTTGGAAATTATCATGCATACAATGGACTCCGGACTAGGTGCGTTTTTCTAAGTCTTCCTACCAATATGACCAAATAGCGAAAAAAAGGTCAAACAAATTATATATTATTTTTAGTCTATAAAATAGATGTAATGTTAATCGGATTATTTGGACTAAAATCTTTTGTTATCGGTCGGCGAGATTGTTTAATTGGTGCCTCGCTTTAGCAGTAAACTACAGCTTTTTCGTGCTTAGTTATCACTATTGCGTGTCTTTGTGCATTGAATTCTAGATACGAAGATAAACTGGGTTTCGATTAATCTCTTGAGATAACATTGAATTCTAAAACAATACTAAAACTCTCACTCGAAAAAAAGTGTACAGACAACGAATGGCAAAGCCAAGAGTACGAATGAAGAAAAGAAGTTTGGTATTCCACATAAGAGGAAGATAGAACAGTTTTATAAATTAAATGGAATAATCAGATAAGTTTAATATAATAGAGAATTAACAGGAAGATTTGGAAAAGTCAATTACCAGAGAATAATGATAGAATAGGCGGTAGATAAACGCCTTATGTAATGGAAATGGGCTTGTCGAGATAGCAATTAAATAAGTTATGAGTTAGAAGATACGATATTTGAGACAAAATACCGTCGCGGGCAGGATTCGAACCTGCGCGGGGAAACCCCATTGGATTTCTAGTCCAACGCCTTAACCACTCGGCCACCACGACACGGTCGGAGACTTCTTATTTCATCCTACTGAATAGCGCTTATGAAGGGAACTTAATTTGAGTAATCTTTATTCTAGTACAGTAAGAAGTATTAGGAGTTCGGTAATTATAATATCTGCATTTTATAGAATGGTGTTGAATAGCATAACAGTAGTCTTGTAAATCTTTGAAGTTAAATTATGTTTATGTAAAAATTACTCCGAACTATTAATAATTTGATGTATTGGAATAATCTAACTGCAAACGAGATGATCATCTCTGCAAATATTTTGGAGGGTTCTGGGGCTAGTGCTTAACATTGGACTAGTATGCTAACTGCAAACCAGTCAGCACAGAAATAAGCATAGTTCATAGACGGTGCTGTCTTATTGCCGTATCACATAGAAGAAACACATGCGATATTTTTTCTGTGTGTGTGTGTGTGTGTGTGTGTGTGTGTGTGCATGTGCGTATTGAAAGATGGTGAGGAGGCAAGGCATGGGGCGATAAGAGAATGTGATAGATAACTTGAACGAAAGAGCAATCCGCGCCAAGTCCAGTTTAGTGTATAACCTTACTCGCTTTATATGCATGTTATTTTGCCCCCGCTTGATGGAGCCCCTAGACGAAGGGGCATTCCGCTGGTTGGGCCCAGTTAAGACGATGCGGAGTGGAACTGAAGCCCATGCTTTCGCACCCTCCTCCTCCTCTAGAACTATGCCGGAAGCCCCAGCTGAAGGAGGACAGGCCTCATAATGCCGAAACAATAAAAAGTCAAGCTGGTTTTAGACCAGCCCCAGATTTTGGCCTCAGGACGGACAACCACACGCACACCGACATGTACAGTCAGACCTTAGTGTGGGAACACACTGACGATTAGTGGAGCTGCTCGTGTCAAATGGTTCTTTCACCCATTGAACAGCATACGCACACGCATACATGTGCGTCAATACGTGCACATGTCGTACACCCAGAATGGATTCACACAAAACCACACATATATACATGCAAACTCAGGCACAAGCAAGCAGTCAAGCTCGTCTCCATTTCGGCATCCAGTTCGGTCTGGGCAATAGTCGAGTATTGCATGGCTAGCCCAACTCCTTTGCAGAACTATGTGATTCCCACCTGTAGCCCTCACGGTGAGGCCATGGGCTCCACACACGGCGAGAGGACATGGGCGGCCTGGTTTTTTCCGTGGCTCACAAATTGACATGTGTGTGTGTGTTTATGCTTTTGGATAGGCCTATTGAAAAAACCTCTTCGCATAAGGCCTGTTCGCCACAGTCCGTGGCGATTTGTTTGGTCTTTATGAAAGTGTGGTACCACAGCGGACAAATGCCAAATACTACCGCCGACTCTGCGGAGGACGGAAGAAAAACCTCAGTCGTTTGTGCAGACCATCGTCTGTCTCTACACTTCGTCATTTCCGTTTGTGCTGGGCACGAGTGTTGCCAGAGGACTGTCAGGCGCCAGCATGAGATGGTGATATTAGCAATCAAGATTCACAAGTGACCATACACAGGCACACCTCTCAGTGGGCCCCTTTTTTGAGGTCTGGTGAGATTAGCATCTCCTTGAAGGCATACATTCACAAAGCGAAAATAAAAATTTCTTAAAGACTCCGAAGGAATAAGGACAAGCCTCAAATGGTCTTCTTTATTTCCATACATCGTTCGACGGATTGCGAATAAAGAAAAACTACTCTTCTAAGACTTCCTTAATAGATTCTTGTCATTGTAAAAGGAGGGTGGAAGAGATATTGTAACTAGGCAAAACAACTTAAATCTGGTAGATTAGGATGTTGATGGATATTTAAATATCAAAACAAATGGAGCAGCAATAATTTCAG